ATGACTAAGACCGGTCTTCGTACCCGACTTGGTCGGGGTTTTGTCTTCATGTCCGACTTGGTCGGGGCTTTGTGCCTGAGGAGACAGGGCTTTGTGCCTGAGGAGTCAGGTCTTTAAATCCTAGTGATGGGTCTCAAGCCACACTCTACTAGGTATTTGATCATAAGTGCGTGATAGTGTGATGCTCGCCCGACAAAAAATTAATTTAAATAAAAATAATATTAAAATTAAAGTGTACTTATCTTTTTGAAGTCGCTAAAATATTGGGCCACTTGGGTTGTATCTGTTGCAAAGACCACGACCCAATATTTTTTTAGACCGGTTCTGGACTAAAGGTTGTTTGCTGGTCCACAAATTTTGATTGAAGCTAGTTATTTGCTCCATATTTTCTCGGCCACCATTAGAGGAGTGGATTGCATCCACGTATGGATCCTTCCAAGCCATATATTTCAATTAATTTAGTGGGTCCACTGAATTAATTTAGAGACCAAACCCTTCTGGCTTTTCACTGGTGAAGCTCGCAGATGGCTTATCATGCCTAGCCTTACTGGCGCCAGAAATGGAGGACCTCCCATATCACAGGCCGCCGGAAATAAAGAGAGGCCTCGGCGGTCCAACCACCAAACTGCCATTCCAAAACGTTGAGATGCGACGGCGATAGGCGCGGCGCCGGAGCGACCATAGAAAGGCGGCGGCGCGGTAACAGAGGCGACGGAGTTTGTACGCTGGACAGTTCGCCGGTGGCTGCTGGAGAAGGGTGAAGAAGCTGCTCGCCACTTCCTCCGTCAAGCTACGCTCTTCTTCGCGCACGGGGCCTGAAAAATCGTTGGCTGCCACCAGAGAGAGGAAGAGGGTCCATTGGGGCTGCTGCTATGCGTAGCATTTCTCTGTCCTCGACGAGATCTTGAGCACCAGCCTCGTGCAGGGAGCTCTCCATCTCCATCAATGGAAGAAGCTTTGCAATGGCTCACCAGGGGCAGCGACTGATGATGTTGCGGCGAAGGTGAAGAAATAGGCTTCGAGCGTCGTTTAGTGTTTGCTGAACCGAAGGCAGAGGAAATACCTGCAAGCGGTGGTTCTGCAGCGGCGAGATCTCGGACGGGCGGCGAGACCCAGTAGCGGCGGCGGATGAGCTTCAGGTTACTGTGGACGGCGGCGACCGGGATCTAGAAACGGGTAGCTCCAGTGGGCGGAAAACGTCTGCTATGGCGCGTGACGGTGGGTGGAGCGGTGGTGCTAGCCCAGAAGAGGAGTGACCCACCCTGAGACATGGCGGCGCGGTGACAGTTGCTCCGGCCAGGTCCGGAAAATCTTGGATCTCCCATGCCATATTGTATAAACAGGAGAAATTGAACAAGAATCAAAAGGAGTAATGGAGAAGAAGAAGAAAATGTGTATAGAATGAATATTTGTTATATGAGTTACAAGCCTCCTATAAGGAGTATATATAGGGAAAATCCGGGTCTGGGCCTCTAATATGGGCCTGACAGACCCGGTTACATAAATGGGCTGATAGTATAAAAAGCTAATCTAGAACATCTGAATAATAATAATAATGTACAATAATATTAATTATATCCGCTAAACGTGTGTGGGCCGCTGTCCAGGCCTAGTAGTCGGCATACCGGGGGGTCGGAGTCCATATAATCCATCAGCACACAAAGCACACAAATGACACAATAATTGAAACTCACAACACACTCACTAAAATTAAAAATGAACGCAAAGTGGGACAATTTTTAAATAGGGGATCATGTTTCATTTCATACCTGATAAGTCCGTATTTAGACACGCATTTGATGCATCTTGGGATCGTCTTTTGATGGTTTTCCTAGCTTTAAGGTGTTGCAAGTCTCAATTTTAGCTCAAGTTATGTTTACCAGGCGTTGGTTCGAGTTTTGTGTCATTTAGAGATTGGCACCGGCGCTTGAGGAGCAATCGGGATGATTCGAGCTACATTCGAGAGTGGATTGAGAGCTTTGGAGGTCACCGGGAGGTTTAAAATGAATGTTTGATTACAAAAGAGCTCTAGGATTGGCAATGGGATCAAAAGAAGATGAATAGAGCTTAAAAATGACGATCAGGATGACCTTTTGTCAATCGTTCAAGCATATCTTCTTGTAGAAACATCCAAAGAACACGATTAAAATTCCACATGAAATCTAACTTCAATTGCTACAAATCATATGCAGATATCATTTCGAGAATCTGAGAGGAACAAGGTGAAAATAGACGATGAAGTAAGATGACCCCTGTTGCGATTTTAGAATGCGACCTTCCACCGTTTTAATCATATCTCTTTATTGGATGATTCAAATCCAATTTGGCAAGTTGTGGTGGATAGAAGACTTCATTATCTAAAACTTTTGTGAAGAAAGCATTGTCAAATTCGGAAGTTAAGTAGGCACGATCGTGCGCTCCAAATTAGGCACGATCGTGCGTGAAGAGAAAGCACCGCGGAGCTACTGCCAGGCAGACACGATCGTGCCTAGAGGTAGGCACGACTGTGCCTGCCCAAAACGCGTGATTTTCTCCAGAGGCACGGTCATTCCTGCCTCCGGAAAATCCTATTTTCGCCGGGATTACCCCGTTTTTGTCCCAGTTCAGCCCAAACTCATCTGTTTTCTGTAAATAAGGCCTCTCTTCTCCTGTTTAAGGGTTACGAACATTACAGAGAGGCCTAGGGACGAAATTACTTGTTTTTTACGATTGTTTACTTCAAGACCCTGAGATTATTTGTAAGTTCATCTTTTTAATTAATGACAAATTGATTTTATTCTTCCCAATTCTGTTGATTCTTCAACTATGAGTTGTGAGTAGTTTTAATTAAGGATTTGGGGTTGATGAAGGGATTGATCACGATGTATGGCTAGATTCTTGATGGGTTAATTGCATGAATGCTGTTTAATTTGTGTCTGAATAATTTAACTGATATCTTTTGTAACCTAGAATCGCGACTAGAATTACAATTGCTTGTAGAATAAATTAAGAGAGATCTAGTTTATTCTAGGACACATTCACACACACTTAATCGTTCGCTAAGAGATTAGTAGCGATTAAAGGGCCGTAAGCTCGCTCGTCTTAGCAATAACTTAGGATCCTGTCGCATGAGATAACAGCTTGATCCCCTAAATTATTGTACTCTACGCCGCGAGAGCGGTAAGAACTTAGTAATGATTAGCTAGGCTCAATTAAATTAATTTCATGTGATTAGACCTGATCTGCCAGAAATCTGGTTACCCCGGAATCAATCCATGTTCCCTTCGTCGTTAATTGAGAAGAAACCAATCTTTTATTTTATTGCTCATTGTCATTAGTTTAATTTTCCAAATCAATCAATCTCGCATAATTGTATTTTATTTAATTTTATTTTATTTCTTTTTAATCCCTAAATTTAGTTAATCTTTAATTAATTCCCTTTTGTCCGTCCCTGTGGAGATGATACTCGTACTTTTACCCACTATTCTACTACAATTTTTAGTGCGAGAAAACTCACATCGATACCAAAGTTTCCCCCGATCTTTAAGTCTCTAAGCATTCGCAGGGGTCAATGCATAACTCCGTTTAAAATTTGAATTCTGAGTTCATCGTCTTTCTCTTTTCTTCTTACTCCCACCTTAGCTATTTGTAACACGGTTTGGGGAAGTTTATGCGAGATTAGATAGTTGTTTGAGGCATTTAGTCGAACGGTTTCTGAGCCTTACGTTAGTGTATGTGCAACCATCCTAGCGAGCTTGGTTTGGGGGAGTTGATCAATGTTATCTTGCTACATTAATAATAAGGGTAATTTAGATATTTGAGCCTATTTAATTTATTATTATTTAATTTTGAGATTATAAATTCTCCATATTAAATTGGAGGTTGTTAATAGAATTACGGTAGGCATGGCAATGGGTTGGGGCGTGGCGGGTACTGCAAGACCCAGACCCGCCCCGTGATTTGGCGGAGCGGGTCCGCCCCGCCCCATGATCTGCACGGGTCCAAACTTGTTGACCCATGACCCGCCACATGCGGGCGGGTTCACCCTGCCCCGCCGTAACTTATTAGTTAGTATGTATTTTTATTTGTGGAAAGTTGTTACCAACTGAATCTACATAAAGTTTATCTCTAAATAATAATTAAAAATTAATATATTAAATCAAATTCATGATACGCTAATTTTTTCAAAAATTAAGGAAAACTTACTTAGACTTGAATAGTTAATCTATTAATTATATTAATAATAAAATGTATGTATTAAAATGATATATATATAAAGAAGACATTGATAATCTGTCGTTCATCTCATTCTAATATATATATACATATATATATATATATATTAAAATATTATAAGATCAAAGAAAATATGATTAATTGTATACACACATATGTACGTTGAAGTATATTTGTAGTATAATTTAGGGAAAATGTGCAAATAGGCCCATGTACTAACCAAAAAAGGTCAAATAAGCCTTATTTAGGAGGCTCTGTCCGGCCGTCGTCATTTGGGGTGGTTCCCGTTGGAATTTTTTGCGCAGTTATCTTCAAGAATTCATTTGAATGCCTTCCCGATTGAAGTTTTAGCTGAAATTTGGTATGCGTAAACTAGACTTAATGAATAAGATGCTCAAAAAATTTCATTAAAAAATTTCAATGGGAACCACCCCAAATGAAGACGGCCGGACAGAGCCTCCTAAATAAGGGCTTATTTGACCTTTTTTTGTTATTACATGGTCTTATTTGTCCCTATAATTTAAGAAAAAGTTTGTATACTTAAATATTGAGCGGGTCGGGGCGGGTCGGGTCGCCACGGGTCAATACTAATACCCGGACCTGCCCCATTGTATAGGCGGGGTGGGGGGACCCACCCCATTTGCAAGACGGGGCGGGCCGGACCCGCCCCAAATGTCTCGGGCCAGGGCGAATTGACTGCGGGTCGGTTTTTTTTGACATCCCTAAATTACGGTATTCCACATTTCCACCCTTTGAATACTGGGTTCGATTGGCCGTTCACCTCAAGGGCTGGGCTGGCTTCAGTCAATGGAATGAGCCCAATACACTTGGATAATTTTTTTTTTTGAAAATAATACACTTAGATAATTGGCGACTTGTTGTATTACTTGTATACGAGGGAAAGTAACTAAATCTCTTGACGCAAAAATCTCTTGACGCAAAATGGAAGCAAATATTAATCCCCCATTCAAGGTGATTTTCTACATCACCCATGTACTAGTGATTTAAGCTTAAGGCTCAAGCTATTAAATTATTTTTCAACGTTGCACTGTTGCAGATAATTCTGGGTTCTGCTTCTGTCCCACGCCGAGAAGTTTTAACCGACATGGGATATGAATTCACCACCATGGTAATTTGCTTGTATTTTACAAGTCCTTAGTTACGTTTATTTATTTACTAATTTATTTTTTTGACTCGTTATCTGACTTGTTAAGTTATTCAGAGTGCAGACATAGATGAGAAAGCTATTCGGAAAGAGAATCCTGAAGATTTAGTTATTGCTCTTGCTGAGGCAAAGGTTTGATTTTATTTAACTTGATTATTATAGATTAAAATTGCAAAGTTTCTAGTCATCTCTTTTGTTGTGCTAATGTATAATCTGTAAACTGAAATCCACCTTTCGAGTTTTGTTCCAATGCAGTTTGTTAATGATTTATGAGCTTATCTTTTTTCTCTTTTTGGCCCTGTTAATGCTGGACTACTAGTTTTAACATAGTTCCACGTTCCTACATTTCAATTATTTTGAATCTCAAACATTTCATTGTATATTTGGACCAAAATTCGTCCAGAATGATGTGAAAGTTTTCTTTTTTCAGAAAAAGGTAACATTTAGGGTTATTTGTTTATCCCATTGCCCATTGGGTTCTCTATTAACTGCTCGTTAAGGGGAAAAAATTGATTTCTTAAGTTTTGATTAATTTTGCTATAAGTTTAAGAAAACATTCTTGGGAATCATAGGATGGTCTGTGAGTCAAATATATGGGAGACGAACTTCTATTACTTTCAAAAATAGAAAGAAAAGAAACTTTGAAAGATCTTAGTCATCTTACTAAAAACTCTCAAAAACCCTTCTCAACTTCTCTAGTATTGTTTATTCAAAAAAAAAAAACTTCTCTAGTATTGTATCTCACCTCTATTTGGGATCATACACAAACTCTTTTGGTCGATAGAAGTGCAGGAAAGACACTTTATTCATAAAGGCCACATTAAGTCTGAACAAGACCTCCATTTTGAACAATGGTGACTCATTCATTAATTAAGGTGGCTAAGATGGTGGTGGTTACATTGAGCTGACAAGGTGGGCGGCTGATTGTGAGGTGACTTTTGCATGTATTAAAATTCAAAAGTATTGAATTATGAATTGAGAGGAAGAGTATTGAATCCTTCCCATACTGCAGTTGATTTCTAGGTATTAAAAGTAATGAAGTGAAAATGAAATATTCATTGGAGGGGAGCTCAGTCATTTTTACTAATTGGTCACTTATTTGTGCTCAAAGTACATGTAGTTGATAACCACTTTAGAAGGAAAAAGTAGCCTTTTAAGGCTATTTCTACATCATTCGAGCTCTTGTTTCTGGACATTTAGCATAACTTGTAATGGCATTTATGTGAATGTTTGGAATCTTTCATCAGGCCGATGCCATCATATCAAGACTCCCCATTAGTAAATACAAGGAAGATGCAGACCCAACGCTTCTGATTACATGTGACCAAGTATGTTCACAACATTTCAAATGATTTGGTTATGTATGCCTTGATAACTGAGTCCTATGTTCTTATTAGAATGTTCTTTCTTTTCCACCATTGTAATAAAGAATTATATAATTGACTCCTATTTGACTGATTCGCAAGCTCCTGCAATCCTATGAGTAGCTTGTAGTTTGGGGGCACGTTTAGTTATTGCTGAAGTTTATGCAATTGTGGAATTGCTTAAATGACTGAAGTAGAATTATTTAGTTAATGGAAAGTTTTGTTGAAATGAATGAAAAGAGTCCAATGATCTTTTAAGTGTGTAACTATCTAATAAGGTAAGTAGTATAGTAATCTTAATAGATGGAATAGAGTAGCAGAAAAGAGTAGCACACTGGCAAACATGTCATTTTATTTATATACTTCGTATTAGATATGCCAAACTCCAAAGCAGCCAAAGTACACCAAATTCTGCCAAAGGGGTGCATTTGGTGTTTTCTCTTAGGACTGATCAGCCAAGAATATGCCTACCAACCTGATAGGTACAGGGAAATCTGGCGATGAATTGTTGAATATTAAAACTGAAATTGTTTGTCCAAAAAAAAAACAGAAATTGTTGAAACTGAACAGAAACGATACAAGTGAGGCAAATTTGAGAGTGCCTCTGTCTCTCCCGAGTCCAGATCCAAAGTTCTGCTTCTTTCTTCTTTCTCCCTCCCTTCTATTTATACTCTTACTTATGGGCCAGCCCAAAGTTAACTAATACCTGGCCCAGGACCTCTAATATACTATCACAATTATTTAATATTATTATAATATTCTATTATAATTTTCTTTAGCCTAGAATCCTATCATATCTCCCCCTTGAACAACCACCTTGTCCTCAAGTTGGGTGATAGGAAACAGCCTTGACCTTCCGCTTCATCTTCATCCTTGCGTCTCTCCCTTCCCAATACCTCACTGATTGCGGTACCATGAGCTTCAGTATCTGCACTCTTAGTCCCCTAGATGGAAAGCCCTTGTCCTTCCTCCGTATTGCATGTATCACAGCTTTCAACATATCACTTGAGTGAAGCTTCTCACAGAAAAGGTCATACAGAACTTCATCCGCCCGCATGTCAAAAGAGATTTCAAGTGGACCTGAGTTATTGTGCCGTGTTTCTCTATTTGAATTTATGAATTCCACATCCTCCAATGGTATCCCACAATCATGAAGCAGAAGTAGTATTTGTTCCAGTACAATGCACACCATGCTATCAACTTTAAGGTCAGGCTTATTTTCCATGTATACTGCACCAATCTGCTGAAGTGTAGGAATCTCCAAGGGAAAATTAAAGAAAGTAACAGTTGCCAAAGGACCATCAGGCCAGCGAAAACCATGGCCGGTCTGTCCCAGATAATTTCCTGGCACTCCAAAAGACCTTGCCAGAAAATGGACCTGATCACCAGAAGAAATTTCTAAATTTTTTTGTGTGACAACAACTTCGCCGAGAGCTTGTTGGTAACTCTTAGGAGCCACCCTCTGTATTAACCTTGTGAAGAAGTCAGAAACCTCAGGAAATGGTAGCCTATGAGCTGCCTTTGCAGAGATATCTCCAAGCATTAGATATCTTTTTGATGCTTTAAATGGATGATGTAGGCCATGCGTGTGGCAGCTTATTACGATCTCAACAAACGGCTGCAGTTCTGCTTCTTGTACTTCTGCAACTTGTATAAATGACTCCCCAATTAAGGAATCCAATATTGTATCATAGCCGGAAGACTTTACCCACTTTCCCTGCACCAAGTTGGACACTTCAGCAGGTAGAGAGCGTGATATTTTTTTAACAGTTGAAATTGCAAATTGCAGGGAATTGCTGCCATGGGACTGAGAATGGCTGGACCTATCAGCCTCACGAATCGGTTTGCTGTTTCCAAGGATGATAGCAGATTCCTCAGAAAAAGGATTACCATGGTCCTTTTGAGCCTCTGGACCAGTCCTTTTACCATGGTCTGTGATTCTCTTGCTGCCCAAAATTGTAAGCATGAACTCACAGAAATTTTCTGAAAACATTTCCTTTGACAAGATCAGCGTTATCTTCGGTAATGTCCCCGAGTTTAAGTAATCCATTTTCATAAGCAATTAAGACTCTACTTCCAAATGAACATGGGTGGAGAAGCAAACCAACAATAGATACTCGGCTGGGCATTAAATCCAAGTCAGCTGCAAGATTAGGAGAAACATAATCTGGCAATTGTCTTTTCCCGGCATCATATTTCAACACAGACACACAATGCGGATAGAGCAATTTAAGCTTTGGGAGTCCTTCCATTATAGGCTGGAGGTCAACAAGCACTGTATCACCAAGTAAACCAACATATTTCTTATAATTCCCAGCAAGTCCTATCCGCATTCCATTTTGAATATGCTTCAAAGAAGTAAAACTATCAAATCTGAAAGTTTTCTTATGAACAGAGTCATATTCCTTGGCAGTCGAGGACTGAGTCACCACAATTGATCGCTTCTCGCGCCCATCACCATCGCTGAACGTGTCTTCAGAGGAATGTTGTCGCTGATTACCAGACTCCTGCTGGAACGAGGAAGCTTGCAAATTGTAGGAATCCGCTTGGGATGGAGAATGAGAACTGGAAGATACTGTTTGGGGCGTAGATGGCGAACTGGAAGAAACTTCTGGCTACTGTGAACTAGTGAAAGATAAAACCTGAGAACTAGGAGAAACAGCTTGCTCCAGAGTCTGTGATGACGAATAACCTCTGCGTTTCGAATTCTCGCAGCGTCGCACAGTCCGCGACCGTCCTCGCCCTCGATGTTTATGAGGCTTGGCGCGCTTCTCGCTGTTCAAGCCATTCTCCATGTTTACGCACTTCCCCACTTTTCCGCGCGAGGCATCGTGATTGGATTTTCTATGCGATTCCTTCTCCTTTTGCTTAGACACGCGCTTCTCGATTGTCACGTACAAACCAGAAACGGCCACCTTCCTCTCTCTTAGGCACGTTTGGATCTTGGAAAGTCCTGGGAAAAGTAGGAAGGAAAGTGTAGAAGAAGTTTGGATGAAAAGAAAATGTTGAGGAAAATAACACATTGTTTCAAACTCAAGAAGTTTAAGACTTTATGTTTATTATTATTTGTTCAAACCCATTTTGTAATGAACAATAAAACATCTAAACATATATATCTAGAGAATAGAAATATTATTCATTTCTTGTTTTCCTTTGTATTTTCCGAGCTGAAACCAAATACTAGGTAAAGAAATAAAATGTTAAGGATGGTTGTTTTCTTATATTTGGTTGTGGAATATGTGATGATGTTTCTTAGCTCTTACTGCTAAATTGAAATTATATTGGAGGTGGTGGTCTATGAGGGTATGATCAGGGAGAAACCAACCAGCAAACAAGAAGCCCGACGCTTCATTGAAGGTATGTCAATGGTCTACATTTGTGATCTTTCTGTTATCAAATACTTACCTATGTAATTTCAGATTACTCAAATGGAAGTGCAGCAACTGTAAGTTCTGTTCTGGTTACAAACTTGAAAACCGGGGCTAAAAGTGCAAAGTGGGACAAAGTAGAGGTATTCACCATTCAGAATTATTACTTGTTTACCATGTTTATTCACAGGCTCTATGTTGAACTCTATGCTCATTTAAAGCCTTTAGTAACACTTCACATTCATAATTTAGTAGTTACCATAATGTTTCTGAATGTCAGATTTATTTCCATGAAATACCAGAAGATGTCATGGATAAGCTGGTAACTGATTGTGTATATTTAATAAATTTATTGTAAATAGAAATTGAGGATGATTTATTTTGATGTTACAACTTCATTCCTGTTTTTCCTTTGTGATAAGATTGAGGAAGGGGAACTGCTTTATGTAGCCGGTGGCCTGCTGATTGAACATCCCTTACTCCGGCCTTATGTACATCAAGTGGTAATTGGAAAACCTCAACCTTTCTTGTAGACATTGTTAAAGTAATGTTTCTTCTTATGGAGTATTTCTTTTATATTTGTGGCACAAGTGGAAGTACATACTAGTGTACTACTATACTAGTCCATTAAAATTGAAAAGTTATTTAGGTCAGTTTTGAACTAGAGAGGCATAACAGGTCAAACTTGAAGATGCTGTGATTCTTGAATACACACCACACCTTCCACCTTACCTTTAATATATATCCATTAAGAATCATTTGTCAATAAAAATAATGGTTATGTAGCACCCCAACACAATACGGCTGTTTGATAACCTCTGTTTTTAGCTTATTAGTTTTATCGGTCATTTTTTTACCAAATACGTAATATATACCTTTTGATTTCGCACGCTAAATTGTGTAATATAATCAAAATAAGCAAGGTTAGAATTTGGAATCATTCGAGTTACTTTTCTGCTGGTGTTTAGTAGTTTACATTAGAGAACCATTTTTCAATTTTTATTTAATTTTTCTTTATTTTAATAATAAAATACGATCTAAATGTATTTTTTCGTAATTCAGTAGATTCACCTCATTCAATCAATTCGGCCAGAGTTTTTATCACTTTCATCAAATCTAGTCAACTCAATTAGTTTCACTGGTATCAAACGAACTCAAAGTTGCCCTCATGTCTTTACACTTGAGTGTATAGATAGAGAAACCCTTTTTGCCCTATTTTGTGGCTACATTCCTCTGTGACAAAAAACTATTGCAGTAAAAATGTAGCCATAACTTTATTATTTACATGTTAGTGTTAGACCGTAGCTACCAAGAAATTAAGAAAGCCCTCTTAGGATTAATGATCGGTACTATGCGCTTTCTATGCTGTCATTAATTAATTAATTAATTAACTTAACATTTGAGAAGGTTGTCAAATGTATTGGGTTGCAGGCGGGAGCAATTGATAGTGTCATGGGGCTTCCTAAAGCACTAGCACAAAGTCTGATGAAAGAAGTTATGTAGAAACATTAACAGATAGTTTCCATAATGTTGTATTTGATTATCAGTGGCATATGATTAATTAAATCTATAATGCTTTCCTAATTTGATATTTTCACTAATGTAGAATATTTTCCTAATTATGGAAATTCAATCTAAATAGATAAAAAATAGTTGACTTGGCACTGAGAGTTTTTTCTTTTTTTTTTTTGGTTGCATGAGATATGGGTGATTGGGTGTTCTACTTTCGTTATCAAAATTGCTTATAAATGAACTATTTTATCAAATTTACAAAATAAACATCACAATATGGGATTCATGTATCAAAACTTTGCTGATATGTTGTTCCTGATATCGCTTGAAAATGAATTGTTTTACTAGTATAAAAATTTACAAAATAAACATTACAATATGGAATTCATGCATCAAAACTTTGATTCTTAAATTGAATATCAAGTTTTGATACAATGATAATAATTTAAAAGGCGTGGAGTGTATGTGTATCTAAACATTCTATAAAGATCTAATATCAGTTCAGAATTACTTGATAAATGATACTCTCTACGTCTTACTTTAACTATTTTATATTCATTTTCAGATCGTATCACATTAATTATTACATTTCCATTTTGAAAAAAAAAAATCTACCATAAAAGCAATTACATTACACTATAAAGTATATTGTATTGTTACAATATTAAAAACTTCTTGCCTCTTGTACAATGTACAGAAAACTTTAGAAAACATTATACAAAGTAAGAACTACTCCGTATTAAATTAGGTGGAAATCCTATTGTAATAATTAAGATGTCTTGTATCCATTTGCGCATAACACATTACAGGGTATAGGCCTATAGGGGTGGGATTTTGTAACCATAGAACCGGTTGGAATCGACCCGTTATAACTCGGTGCAGTTCGGTTCCAACGAATTTGGTATTTGTTGTTAACGGTTCGACGGTTCCTAGTTGTTACTATCGGTTTGGTTCCTGCCAGGGCCGTCTAATGAATTTGGAGACCCCAGTTCAAAATGTAAAATCGGGGCCCCACGTTAATATAAAAAAAAACTTAATTCAAATACTTATACTCAAATCAATTGAATACTCATTAAAAGAGAACTACAAGAGTAAAAGGAACAACGAGAAAAATGATGTATCTATATTTTTCTTCTTTGCTAGCTAACTGTTTTTTTACTGATTAGTACGGAGTATTAGTATACAATATTACTATATAATACTAATAAGTTTTAAAAAATATGGGGCCACTTAAATTCGGGGGCCCCTTAAATTCGGGGGCCCCTTAAATTCGGGGGGCCTATTCTGGATAAGCTATTGAACCCCCTAAAACGGTCACGTTTCCTATAAAAAATATGTGCACCAAGCCGTTAAGGAATTGTTATTAAGAAATAAAATAAAAATAGTAATGCTGTAATACTAATACTGGTACTCTGGTAGTGATAGTAATAACAATAATATCAACAATAACAATAATAGTGCAATCAATGATATTTAGCCAATAATTCTAATTTAACCAACGAAAACTAAAGTAATCAATATTACACATGAGATTGAATACGTTAAGCTATTTTTTTTTTTACAAAATCAAGTTTTTTCAAATCACATACTCAGTATATTTTATAAATATAAAATAACTCAAATAACTTGTAGTTGATTGCATATATTTTTACTTCACTATCTTCGTGATATTTATAACTATTTGATTTATTGTAAATAATACTACTAGCAAATAGAATGTAATGATGCTTCTATAACTATAAATGGAAACTCAATGTGTTTTTTATGTTTTGAAAGACTTGAAGTAGACGTCATATCTTGCTAATGTGATGCTTAACAACCTTCATTGTTACCACATAACTACGTTTTTTATGTTCTACTCATTAAATGAAAATTGAAACTTTCTTTTATTCTATTAAGTGTTCACTTAGTTAAGTTTGAGCTTTGATGTTTGGAGATATTAGAAATGTAAATAAAATTTTAATACCTGTGTTTGATTTTATTTTTTAATTTTTATGTGTAGGAAGCAAATAATGTGCTCATTTATTAAATGCGGAAAAAATTATTCAAGGAACCGATAAAAGTAAGAATTGAACCGTATAATATTGGTTCGGTTCCATAGCGGTTCTTGATTTTTTTACATAAGAACCAAACCGTTTCATTAGTTAAATTTTTTTAACGGTTCCACCAATTTTGAGTAAGAATCGAACCGGTCCTAGGCCTAACCCGTGTATATTTGTATACTTGGCCAAATTATTAAATTGATAAAAAAAACTTTAGCAACATATTGGTAAAAAAGAAGAATCTCCTGTGACATATTGATAAAAAACAAAGCTCTGGCGAAAAATTGGTCAATTATTGGTGAGTAAGACACTTTAAGTCAATAAGTTTAGAATTACCGACATTTAGTCCAAGTATTGTGAAATTGACATTTTCAGTCACTCTATTATAAATTGTCATGAAAAGTGGAAGATAAAAATGTCCACGAGAATGTTTGACAATAAGCGGTTGGACTCTAGCGAATAGCTACTATAATTACCAGATTGATACTAGCAGATTTTGTTAGCTGTTTTAACCAACTGTTTTCATTAGCGGTTTGAAGTAAAATGTTTAATAATTTAGTTGCTTGCGATTAGTTGTTAAGACGTAAAATGATCAAGATACAAATTTATAGTATACATTTAATTTAACTTTATTTCTTTAATTCTGTAATAAATTCTGGAAAAAGTTTTAAAAATTATGCTTACTTTTATTTTTATAATAACTACTACCACTATAACTTGTATCATATATACATTTACACAAAGGGTAAAGGTGTAAATATATCTTTAAAATTTATATGCAAGTGTCCAGTTATATCCCTACGTTCTAAATGATGCAAGGATACCCCTGATGTTTCTATAAAGATCAAATGAGGCCTTGGAGATTCTACATAAATAAAAAAATAAAAAACACTAATAAATTAAAATATATTGGATTCAGAAAATGAAAATATTTAAAATAAAAAACTTAATTATCATTAAAAAAATAGAATAACATATATAAACATTTAAAATTTAATATCATTATTAAATTGAATAAAAAGAAAGGTTTATTTTATGTTAAAATGCTAATGCTTTAATTTTAAATTGCAAAACTACTATTTTTCCCTTGTAAAGAAGCACTTAAAACATATAAATATTAATTTTAGTATTGTTGCATAATTTTGAGCACATTTATACATTTTTTGAAATAACACTCTTTGGTATTGTTTAAACTTAACAAACTAAAAAGTAATATTGGATTATTTATCATCACACAAAATGTGCTAAGTAAATTTTGTAGTTTAAATAATTTTTAAAATTGATGTTTTTTTTTCATTGCAACACATATGTTAATACTTTTACGAAAGAACCATATTAAATATATAATAAAGTTTTGAAATAACTTTTTATGCTAACAATATTAAATTGTGACATACAAATAATAAGAGAGAGCATTGGACACATTTTTTTTAATTTTTCAATTTCCAATATCAATATATAATATTTATTTTTGGGCCGTATGTGCCAAATGACACACAATCTTAAAGTGGAGCTCCGGTGAATAATAGTTCACAACGCGGAACATCTGCTTTGGGCAACCAAGGGGCAATCCCTATGATTACCATGCCGAGCAACTCTATGGAGAAACTCGAGAAATTCAATGGGTTAAACTTCAAGAGGTGGAAGCAAAAGATGTTATTCTATCTCACTACCCTCGGCTTGACAAGGTTCTTGATCGAGGACATTCCGGTTTTAACCAGAAGCAAGATGGATGTGCAATCTGTCAACGCGGTGGATGCATGAAAGCATTCAGACTTCCTTTGCAGAAACTACATACGTGTTCAAGGGCTGCATGATGCACTCTACAATGTCTATAGCAAGCCAGCCACGACTAAGGAGTTACGAAATGCTTTGGACCACAAATACAAGAGTGATGATGCCGGTGCAAAGAAATTTATTGTTGGCTAATTCCTTGACTTTAAAATGGTGGATTCGAAGACTGTCTTGAGTCAAGTTGAGGGGATGCAAATGATATTTAATGAAATTCGAGATGAGATAATGACATTTAGTGAGTCTTTCCAAGCTAAGTGGCGTCAATTATCCACTTATTGCCACCAGCTTGGAAAGATTTCAAGAACTGCCTTAAGCATAAGCGAAATGAAATGAACTTGGAGCAATTTATCCCCATCTTCAGATTGAGAGAATAACCGCAAGAATGATAGGAAACTCTCAATCGTTTGTGGCGCCAAGACCAATGTTGTGGAGCATGTTAAGGGCTCCAAGAATAAGAATAATGCAAAGAGCAAGCTCGGTCCCAAAGGAGGCGTTTCCAAACAAAAGTTCAATGGAAAATGCTTCAATTGCAATAAAAATGGGCATAAGTTAGTGGATTGCAAGACACCAAATGGGCAGTTACAGCATTGAATGTCCAACGTTCTTTTCCCTTAATGCACCTTTAAATGGACAGTTTATAAACGAATTGATGTCCAACGTTTAGGTCCATTAAAACACACTTAACACACAACAAATCCGTCCTTATATATAGTTGGCAGGTGATTTTTAACAACACATGAATTATACACAGTCTTCACGTGCTTTTGGGGCTAGAACCACCTACAACTTTATGAAAATTCCTCTAGTGTTCTTGCTTTGTTTCTGTTCGCCAGAACAACTGATTGTGTGCTCATATGATTGTTCACAGCCACCGTATCCTGGGAAACTATCAGTGCAACGCTCTTAATATCGTGGGAGGCAGCAAATATGTTTTAAGAAAATTGTGTGTTGCAAAAGCTTAGGCTTTCTGTTCCTTTTTGTTTCTTTTTTCTTGACTATTTTATTTAATTAAATTCTTTATTTTGCGATTAAATACAACAATTCACCCAACTGTACCTAGCAGCGGATTTGCGACCAATTTGGTCAGCCGCCCCATTTGCGCCAAAAAAGACACAAAGCCCCAAAGACGTAGTAGATGGAAACAATACTTTGATAAAGTGTTCCCCTCAAGTAGTGAATAATATGCATGACTGCACCCAATGAATGGAAGAAGAACCATAAACAAACTGACTTGCGATGTGACCGAATGAAAATAATTTTAATTGAAAAGTACGAATTAATGTCAAGAATTAAAGTTTAGAGAAACTATGATAAAAA